CTGCCCATGGCCGCCGCCGCGCGCTGCGCCCGCCCGCGCGTCACTTCCGCCGCGAGAGAAGGCACGGTCGGCTCTCTGTTCCCGGGGCCGCCCCGCCGCGGGGAGACGCGCGGGAGGGCACGGGCGGGGCCTCCGGTACGGGAGGCAGCCACACCCCGGGCCACGCCCGGACCAGCAGACAATAAGGAAAAACAATTAAAAAAATTAATAAAAGAAATTTAACTTCCGGAAAGCGCGCCGTAATTAATAAAAAAGCCGACTCGGAACTGAGATACATGACATTGCGCAGTGTTCTGAAGTACAGAATTCTTAAAAGAGAAATCACACTGTTGTCCCTACAGAGTGTTTTAATATATTTCTAAGTACAATTCGTGTCTGATTTTGGAAATACAAATACATTTCGAATGGTTAAAAACAAAAATTAAAAAAATATTTTGAACATCAGCCAGCTGAAAATATATTTATCTAGTAAATCATCTCTCAAAGCTTTTATATATTTAATTATTCTAACTAAACATAGTACCCTTAAAAAACAAGTTCATAAAAATGTAGAAATGAAATTGTGGAATAAGATTACTGGAATATATACACACACACATTCAATGCATACACAGAATTACAAGGCGGGGTTGGTTGGTTGTTTTTAAGTTTGGAAGGTTGTTGACGGAACTAGCAAGCAATGCTCAACTCCCGAGTTCCTCAACCACGATAACCATAAGCTGATTTTTAAATTGTTTTTATCTTTTTTTATACACAAGATATTCCATGTAAAGCAGCAACAGCAGTGCAGTTACTGGTAGCAACATCTCAAAAGTAATAAAAAACCCCATACACCCAGACAGTAGTACATTGCACACACACGTGATTCTCATACATCCATCGACAATTGGTCAGAGTATTAAATCAGTGTACAAATTAAATATTTCCAAAAATGTGCAAAAAAGTCAACGTTGATAGAAAAAAACACCTTTGTGTACATACATTACAAACTGTGCCCAGCATTCAACTGAGAGTAAAAACATTTACAGTGAGAAACTGATAGATTAAATAGAGAATTTAATGGCTACATAAAAATGTACATTAGATCAAGAGAGTAAATTTACAAATTTTTATTCATAGCTTCATGAAAACTAAAAGTCTACTTTCCAATTAATCTAAGTCTCCTCCACATATTTACAGTGATACTCCATTTTACAACTCCTGCGAGGTCTGAGATGACAGACACTATGCTTTAATAAACCATTCAAATTTTAGGGTGACACCACCTTTTTTTACTGGGATTAACAAGAAACAAACACTAGGGAACTGACAATCTAATGGCTGTTCAGAAAAGAAAATGCAATCCTTGTTTTTATATCCACATTATATAAACCTCTGGGGAAAAAAAGGATCATCTAGTTTTTCCTATGACTATCCACTCGTGAGCTGGAGTATCCTTTTCCTTATCTCTCAACACAAGACCCAGACCCTCCAATCCTTACCTGTGGACTCAACGTAAGGGCTGAACTATGAGATACAATTTTTAATCCAGGTCCCCCCGCTTTAAAATAAGTTTCTGAAAACTAAGCCCTAGGTTCAAGTGATGGACTCCATGGTCTAAAGCTGGACACACACCTTATTCAGGAGCTATCACGGGCCATCACCTATGCAGGACTTCAGCTTTGCCAGCTAGAAAGAAAAATAAATGGTGTGGGCCAAGTGGAGGATATCAAATGAGAAAGGAGCTCCTTTGTTTCTGATCACAGATTTTGATTCAGAAACCCTGGGTTGATAGCAAACCTGTCTGACCCTCAAGTGAACATTAGTGGCTCCTCCTGAAGGCAGCACCCACACCCAGGTAACTGTGGGTGACATCTGGCTGTCACAGAAAGAGTACTGGCCGCTTCCCAGAGCTTTGGAACATTCTCACTATGGCACACAAAACACATCAGGTCACAATTTCATCTTCACGGTGGATCCTGAAATGTCCCAAGGCTCAAACCCAGCTACAGAAGTCACCAGGTTTTAGTCACCAAGCTTATGCAGTAATTTTAGAATGACAACAGTAAGATCAAATTAGAAAGAGCTTTTAAAAAGAAAACTCTTCATTTTAATACAAGCATGAATTTCGCATATCAGAACAGCAACTATAAACACGCACATGTCTGAAATATGGGCAGTGTCTATCACTTTTTACTAGTACCTGCTTTACTCAGCAACAGTTTACTGGTGGATATAAGCTATCTATAAGTGACATGAAACATCACTTTTGGCTATATGTATATGGGATAGAAAAGCTTTGGTAATTGTATATGATTCTACACTGCAGACTTGTCATTGCCACAAGACAGCAAGTTACCAGCAAGAAGAAATGACACTGGCAGCAATACCTCCGCTTTTCCAGAAACACCATAGGGACTTACATTCCAGCACACAAATTATACTTTTCTATATGCATGACACAGTCTTTCAAGATTAAAAAAGTAAGAAATTAGTTATAAATAACTGTAGATCTGACCAATTTGCTCGAGTCTCTGAAGCTGCAGTTAGACATAGCTCTATGCTGTCCAAAAGAATGGCTTGCTATACTGCACTGTACCTACGGGTTCTATGAGGCTTTCAGTCAAGACAATGGCAGGATTAGGATTATCCAAAAGGCACAGGAAAGAAATCTGTTCGTTTGCTTGGACAGATCATATTCCTGTGCACTGAAAGTAAACAGCTTTTAATACAGTACCCGGCTTACAAATGTACCAACTTTGCTTTCAAGCCCAGTAAGAAACTCTGCTGCAGAGTCTGGTACCCAGAACCAGGAAGTCAAATCGTGACAATCCAGTTACTTCCGTGCACGCAGACAAATCTCTTTCTGGCATGTGCATCAGTGTACAATCTCCAGAATGCAAATACAAAATGTTTATTAGCACAGGAAGCCAAAAATCACTTTAAAGTTCTAAATTTGAATGTCTGCTGCAGATTATAACCCAAGCACACTTTTCAATGCAGTTAGGCAAACTCTGCTTTGGGCACTTTGAAAAAACCCATTCTCTAAGACTGCTTTGGTGACATGGAATTGTATGACTTATTTCAATATGGTGTTCTAACATGAACAAAATTAAGGCATACAGAGAAAAAGGCACTAGCTAAAAAACAAAAGTTTTCATTTTATTTGACTGAAAGGACTGTTTAGCTACAAATCTAATTGGAAATCAAGTTAGAACTTTTAAGACTATATTTAAACTGTCAAGAAAAGACAACTAGATTTAACTTTGCACTTATCTGATCCATGCCTTTTTGGGTTCATCCATGGATATTTCTATCACCCAAATAAAAAATAACTTTTGTGTTAACTTTCTCTAACACAACACAACTGAAACCATGAGTCATACTCTAACAGGACTATTACACCATTAAAACCATACCACGAAGTAGCTCTTGTTACTTAATATGTGCAACAGAGAGAATGCTAAAAATCATTAGGTAAGTAAAGACTTTTGAAAATACACATACTCACCGTGAATTTTTTCTTATTTTTTGAGAGTATAGCTTCATTGTGGCATTTACAGAAAAGCAACCGAACCCTACAGCAGTATTGCTTTCACTGGCATTTTTTTATAATTGGATTCAACAATTAAGGCCAATTCACGATTCCAAAATGCTGGTGGCTTTTTAAGTGACATACAAGAAGGTGTGAGCAGGGATCTTGGCTCTGCAATCCTCCTCCAGTGGAGTTTAAAGCATGAAATTCCATGCACCCTCACAAATTCTAGAACGAGGGGTAATTCACCATCATCACAGGAGTCCCTGTAAGTGTTTAACAAACCCTGTATACAGCTCATCTTACTACATTACCCCACTAGGGGTAAGTAATAGCCAACCTCTTGGTAAAAGTCTGATTTACCTTTATAACTATTTCTAGCTCAAAATATTTGTGTTAATAACCAACTAGTTCACTGTAAGTTATTTAAGTCAGCAGAGATTCTCCTTAGGGTGAAAAAAAAAACTAACCTTGGTTAAATTTGTAAAATTTTACTAGAATCACTCAAACTGGAAAATGTCAACTTCATTTAAGAAGCACAGTTTTTACATTGGCAGCTTTCTGACATGCCAAAAACATGATGAAAAACATATTTTGAAAGCTGCTTTTTTCCTGGCTCCAAAACACTGACCGTTGTCATGACTGAATGCCATTTTTTTTTTTAGAAAAGGCACAAAAGCAGCAAACTTGATTGTTCAGTAATTAAAAATCACAACAAGAAAGTGATATTGTAATATACATGATCCAGCACTGTCTCACAAAAAGGTCACATTATAAGAAAACTAGATTCTGAAAATGTTCAAGCTTCAGAGAGTGCAGTTTCTCTTTAGAATAGTATATTTAAATGTTATGAATGCTACAGATAAACCTGGTTACATTTTCCCTTTAATGTCCTTTTTTGGTAATATAAAATTTCCTTACCTTTTCAGGTATCACTGATCACTACTGATTTTTATATACATTTTCACCTTAGTTTTGGTACCTGTTTAGTCTAAAATCAATCACTTCAATTACACGATCTTGAAAATTACCTACATAAACTATTAGGTTCTACATTAAACTTCCCATTCCTACTGTCACTGTATTTTGCTTATAAAGCAAAGGTCTCTTACAGCAGAGTATATACCAATTCTTCTTAAAGGCTGCTTCATAGCTTTTATCTAGTGACAGAGAAACAAGAAAAAAAGTCAGTACAAGCTGCCTTTCCTTTCAGCCTTTTATACTTTTCCTGGTCTGACTACTACTTCCTGTGCTCAGGAAACCCTGCACAGTTGTCTACCCTGACCAAGAAAATGCTAAGTTGGGTAAAATACTCACATAAGCTGAAGAAGTCACCACTCTCAGTCTCTGGAGAGATGGCCACAAAAAAGTCATTCTTACTCCACTACAGGTAAAGTGATTAGGATTAATCCATACTCGGGCTTATGCTCTGATAAAATATATGGAATTCAGAAGAATAAATTCAGAAATCTCATATGTGAGTGACTGTGAGAATAGGTAAGCTTATTGTTCTGTCTCCATGCATTTTGTAAACCTGACAGACCTCTAAAGATGCAGAACAGGTAGAGCCTTGTCAGACTAGACAAGGATCACAGTACCAGCCTGCTCTGCTTTTAAAAAACAAAAAAAGCAAGCAATGAATCATCCAAAACAGTAAACATAATTTCAGTTCTGTTGTCCAATAGTTTATTTCCAAATGCCCCTTTAAATTATTTATGTTCTGTTCTTCTACAAAAATATGAATCTGACTTTTCTGTTGTGAAAAGTCAGTTATTCAGTACACCTGATTAGTACCTGGGCTTCTCAGCTGAGAAGCAATATTTCAGATTTTTGCTTCTTTTATTATGTTCTTTCAGAAATAGAAAAGTAAGTAACGTACATTTTATGACAGTTGGAAATCAGACAAACACCAATCTGGATTATCAGGCTGGAATAATCACACTGATGTTATTTAATTGCTGGCTCTCTCTGCACTTTTGGCCTGTTCTTTGTACAGTTTTCTGGGCTGTGCCTCCATCTTCATAGGATTCATCAGTGCAACTTTATTAAAAATACAGCTGGAGTCCTAGCTTTCTCAGTGACTCATTCCTGATGTTAAGAGATGTTGGACTTTATTTCAGGAATTATCAACACATCCTAGATGACTGACCAGCATTACTAAACCTTTTTTTTTTTTTTTTTTTTAGTGCAGAATGAGAAGAATTTTGTATTATTCAGGCACTTGATGTTGACATACATTCCATCCTAGCGCCTCTCAACAGCTTTGAAAACATTTCTTATAGCTCATTCTGAATCCAGTAACTCATATACTGCACAAGGATTAGTTACTCCCTTTCCCCTGCAGCCATTCATGGGACTGTGGAGGAGAACTGACCCTCAACACCAGTATTTCTTATCAGCTAAGATAACTGTCTCCCTTGAAGCTTATGCAACAGAGGTTCTCTTTGGCAGATAGAGCAGGAGGCGTTCTCCTAACTATTTACATCCAATAGCTGACCCTTGTCTAGCATGGAAAATTTCCCCTTTGCAGTATAGTAGTTTCTAGGAGTCTGGGCCCATAATCTGTTTTTACCTGTAATTATTTTCCTATTAAGATAATACAATAATTCTACACCAAAACCTCTAATTAGTACATCAGTTTTGAGCTCATTTTTGTTCTTTTCTTTTGGTCACATAGAAGTACCAGCTAGACATGCTGCTGTACAAAGAGTTCCAAGTTCTTCAGCTCCATCAATTAACTCTCAGAACTGCATGTTCCTGTAAATTCCAAACTGTAAATTCCAGAAATTGATTAAATGCTAAAATAAAATAAGAACTTAGAACTCTCTGCTGCAAGTACCTACAATATAGATAAGAATCACATAGAAGTAACCCTCTTGTCATTTAGCTGCATGTCTATTTTTCCCTGCACCCTGAGTCAGTCAGCGGTGTCAGAAAAAGTCACACAGTTCCTGACTGTCCAAGCATTTTAAATTTTTTTCCTCTTTAAATAAGGAACAAATATGTACTAAAGTGCTTTATCTACATCAACCACATCAGTACATTATAGAAACAAAAAGTTCTAGTCCTGTTGGGAGGAGGGAAGATTCTCATTATAGATACAAAATTTAGATTGTTTACAATCTAAGTGAAACAAAGATTCAAGAGAATATTCTCTCTCTTGTCTTTTTTCTCCTTTTTCTTTGTAAAAAATAAAAAAGAAAAGTGCAGTCAAATAGAAAATAAATGCAGTAGATGCAAGCTGAGTTGAGGCAGGTGTTAGTGATAGTGTGCAAACGTGTGTCTTAGCAGTTCATCTGCAAACGGTCGCAGCTTGGCCTCGATAAAAATCCGTTTCAAGAAATCCCGAGCGTGGTCGGAGACGTGAGGAGGGAGCTGGGGGTTGGTTGGCTGAGTGGCAATTTTAAAGATGGCAGCCATGGCTTCGAACTCTGCCCACGGGGGTTTCTCAGTGAGCATTTCTACCACTGTGCAACCTACACTCCTGAAACAGATGCAGAAGTGAAACAGAAGGTTACAATAGAGTCATGCCCTTCCAGGAAAACAAGAAATAGCAGAGAGGGACTGAAATACCACAAATAAGCAGTGTCCACTGAACATTGCAGAGTAGCTTCAGCATGAAACAGGCATAGGGAAAAAACAGCATGTACTGCTCTACCTTTATCTCAAAGTTACACAAATCACTACCTATGGCTCCACTTTATTACTTCCTTGAGCTGAAATCTACTACCTCAGTGAAAGGATAATTACATATTTTTCCAGGCAATACCAACTGTGGTAGGGCACTGCCAGGATCCAGTGCTCAGCGGGCTGACAAAGGCCACGCACTCAGCATTGCACTTGGAAGCTTTCCTGCCCTCTGAGGCTGAACAGAAATGCAAAGCATCATGAATGCTCTGTGCATACCATGTGTGTTGCCAAGTCATTAGAAATGCACAATGAATGGTGTGCAAGCATAATATGGCAGCTGAAGAACAAAAGCCCTACCTCATGATATCTTCTCTTTTACTTAAGGATACTAAAAATATACTTAGATTGACAAACAAAATTTTAAGTTCCTAAACAATCTTTGTTTAAGAACACTGTCTAAAGAATTTAGGAGGGCAGAAGGGCATACATAGCCAGAGAAACTTTGTTCCAGACGTCCTTAAAGATCAGCATGTCCCAATAACAAGTGAATGATACTGCGAAAAGGACAGGCTGAAATGATTTCCCAAAAGTTTGAATTTTCCAATTCTTCAAAGTTTTTCAAGATGCTTGCAAGAAATTTTGTGCTTTAACAGAGGTACAGTGCTTTACACAATAAGGATTTACTGACTGTTCAACTCCAGTATTTTTTCTTAAGCTTCCACCAAAAACACACAATAACCTTGGAACTAATACTTCAAATTTGAACAAGTCAGCTACTTGATGCTAAGGATTGACCAATTATTCACACATATAAGAGTAGTTACTAAGTAACTGATGTAGCCAAAGTTAATTTCCCTGTGGTTAAAAGTATTGCCATTGCTTGGATATAATGTAGTTCCTCTCTAAACACACAGTGTTACTACTCCTGCCTGTCTACTGCTGCCTGCTCATTACTGCATATTCACAGGTCAGCCCAGCGCAAAGCGGGTCTCATTGCCAAAGTCATCTGTCCACTGGGCTAGAGCCATGTTAGACTGTAGCATATACAATGTTTCATTAACCTTCATTTTCGAAAACTACCTTTCCCTCTTAGTTCTTAAGTATTTGACAACAAACCAAATTATTTTTTTATACTCCCTTTTAAATCTGACAAATTCACTCTTAAGTGTTCAACTTCGGAGTTTAGAGGAGTAGCATTTTATTTTATGCTTTGCAGCAAAGGTATTTCGGTGTTGAAGCCTCATTACAAGATATCGACTGAACTGACGTTTCAAAGCTTCACATATTGCTTTCAGTCAGTACCTCTCCACAACTAACAAACAGTTTGGTAAACCTAACTTCATGCAAGGTCAGTTGAAAGGATTCTTTTATGATCTCTAAACTGATGGGCTGAGAAATTGCCACATGAAAAATTAAATTTCAGCGTTAAGACTCTCCAAATATGACTGCTGATGCTAACATTTGCCACCCTCTTCAGCTTAAATCCCAGGATGAAACACTGCAGCGTCAGATAACAAACACCTGCTCTCTGCTGAAAATGAACTGACACTTTTAAGTAGAGAAGGGTTTTTTTAACATACCAGATGTCTGCTTTTCTGCCGTACCCTTCTCCACTAATAACTTCAGGACTCATCCAGTAGGGAGTTCCTGTGACAGACTTCATTCCCGTACCAGAGAGACAGATAGTCTGCAGTCGTTTGCTGGCACCAAAGTCACCAAGCTTCACATTGCCTGCTGAATCCCGCAGAATATTTGCTCCTGGAAGGAAGGGAAAACAGCATTACCTTCACAAAAGACTCAAGGTTTTGGTACAGGAAAGAGTAACAGAAGTTTGGATTCAGTGATACAATTCAACATCAACCTAGAATTTCTAGCCAGAGAATTTACTTTCTCTGCTCATTCCTACTCTGTTCTGGAGCTCAGAAAATAATGAATTGCATACACTGGTTTGCATTCTAGGCCTTTTCCAGGAAGGGGTAGTCCCTTTGTAAAGTCCTCCTGAAAAAATAAAGAATGTGCCATACATGGGAAATTTAAAAAAAAAAAAAAGGGAGTTTCCACGCAACTGAAAATGTCTCCATACTATTTTATAGTGAAACTTCAAATAGTGTTACAGATTTATTCAAAGAAGTTATCTGCACAAGATAGATGTACATATTGACTGTGATATCTCAACCTTCTTTGGAACAAAACACTGTTGATATAAAGTGACAGAAAAATGGTAAAAATATTAGGGAATACAACAGCAATTTGTTCAACACACCTATTCTGCATGCCACCATCTTCCTACATATTCACACCTTGCTTATGGAACACTTGCAAGTCACCTATACCTATCTTCAAAAAGTAAATGTTTCACCAGGCATCCTAGCAGTAAAATGGAAGAAGTCTGATCAGGCAAGTCACCTCTGCCAGTCACTTCTTGTAAAGGAAGAAATTCATCCTGATTGTTTTGCAGATGGAGACTAAAGAAACATTGTCAAAACTAGAACATCCCGAAGTTGCTCATTTTTCCCTCCCCAGTTACAACAGTGACAAGATTAAAAGATGGAAAGCAATCACACTAATTTTAAGTCAGTATTTTGGTATTTCAAACTTAATTGCATTTTAGTGCTTCACATAAGATTGGAAAAGGATCAGTAATAAAGAGCACTGAAGTGTGCACAGATCTATCATTACCTTTAATATCTCGATGGACAATCATATTACTGTGCAAATAGTGAACGCCTTCCAAAATCTGCCGTGTGTATTTACGAGTCACATTCTCTGTGAGTGCTCCATATGATTTCAATTGGTCTTTGATGGAACCCTATGGCACAGAAGTATAAAGCACTAACACTTCTAGAATTCAACTGAAATTCAATTAAATTTATGCCTGAAATGTAGACATTGAAAATTACAACTTTTCTTGATTTAACTTTGAAACTCGCAAGCAGCTGAATAGTTCCAGTCCAATGCACAGAAATAGAACAGCACCCTCAAACTTTTTGATGGGTAAGTGATGATACTCAGGATGGACATAACACATACCATTTGTGTTAGCTTATACTCAGAAGAAAACACTGTCAGGAAAAAAAACACCATGTGCCAAAGCACCATAGAGTGGTGCTTTAGGTAAAAAGTAAGAGGTAAGCAAGTCTTAGATTAATATAAGATTAAATCAAAACTCCTTGGGCTTTTTGCAACTGTTTTTGTAAAACCTGTCTTTGTCACATGGAATTACAAACTGCTAATATTACTTCTGTCACACTGCCCTCCAAATTTCAGAAAAATTCAAGAAGTCCTACAAAACAAGGCCCAAAACTCAAAAAAATGAAGCAGCAAACAAAAAATCTACCACCAAGAAACAATGCCCAGACACTGTTTTTCCCCTCTGGAGTCTCATAGTAAGTAGACTGCTGTAACTTTTCAGAAATACAGAGCCTCTGTTTTTATAGGAGCACATTTTATTTAGCTCTGCTGACCCCACTTGGTGAGAAAATGAAAATCTGCAGTTTTCTGACCTTATAGTATATCCTAACAAAGCAGAAGAACAGCAGTTCAGCATGTATTAGGTGCCACACAAGAAGGAAGCACCAAGATTATTTTCTGTATGCACTTATTCCCACCCCCATCTCTGCTACTTTTTATTTTCCAGAAATACTTCAAGCGTGGCAAAACAAAACAATAAAATTCAGGGAGATTTAAGAGTTTACTAATGATTATACTGTCTTTTCAAAGACATTGCTAGGCACCACTTATGCCAAAAACAAACACAAAGAGCTTTTGTATGAACCACTGAAATTCTGAAAACCCAAGCAAGCAATGGAGAAGACAGGAGGCTGCAAACACTTGCCAGTACCCATCTTTGGTGTTTTTAACTTGGACAGTTTTAAATATCTGTGTGTCCTTATACAAAGCTGAATGCTTGGGTGCTCATCACACTGCACACAATCGATGGCTGAAGTGGATGAGCTCTCTTGCTTACCCCAGGCATATACTCCATGAATATTGAGAGTGTCCTTTCAGGTGAATCTCTCAAGAAGCCATAATACTGAACAATTCTTTCATGCAGCAGATTTTTCAGCAACTGAATCTCACATTCAAGTGCATTTACTTCCTGAAAGGACAAAACAGGACAGATTTACCATGCTTGATGTAGTAAAATTAAGATTTTGAATTTTTTTAAGCAGAGCAGTGTGTACATATTGAAGTGTTATGCAAAGTAAGTAACAAAATGCTACAGCTAATGTAAAGTTTTTGCATTTTATAACAAGAAAATACCAATGTTAACTTGAGGTAATTAAAAAACCACAAAACTATGTATTTTCAATACATTAACTTTGGGATGATTTTGCTGGTTTTTTATTGTTTCTCCTCCTTGAAGTTATGTTTGTTTCAGAGCACAGCAGATATCAGTAAGTGCACAAGGTCAGTGATCATTTTACAATGCCATAAGCCTCCAGTTGGGTAAAAAAAAGCAACTAACAAAACACAGAACCCACCCCTCTGCATTTTAACCTTTGTGGTGGAATAATTAACATTAATTCTTAACTCTTCCACGATGATAGACTATACTTTAAAAATGCTTTTGAATAGCACTTCATATTGTAATAATGAAATACAACAGAGGAAAACACTAGCAACTGGTCTTTTCTCCGGAGCCATTCAAAATACTACAAATTTTGCAAACAGGAAGCAAGATAATTTGAAATGGACTATACAATTAGATGCTGGAAAAATACTAACCCACAAATTCAAACTTGACTAGATTCCAAATTTCACCTAGAAGTTTTTCATCAAAACCTGAACTTTTATCTGTCATACAGTATTATGGATACCCTCATATTTCTGAGACTAGAAAGGATAGAGATTTTTTTTCACACAGAGACACATAATACTACAAAATGCTAAGTGAGCTCACAAAACTGTTGCTTCAGGAGAGATACTACCATATTTTAACATTTCCAAAACATAATGAGTTGTTTTGTTACATATTTTTAAAAAGCAGCAACAACAACTACACTAGGAATCTACAGCACAAATGATTCTTGACTTTTTCTTTGATCCTACACCACTAATAGCAGCAACTATAACTGGCAGCCACTCAATACTGCAATCATGCTTACACCCATTGTTTCCCTGGCCTTGCTCCCCACAATGCAGAATGCAGCCATAATGTAGGGAAAGTAATAATTCTCTTCCCATCCTGTAAAAAGCAGCAAGTATGGTTTGGGCAAAGAAGAAATAGTGAATTGGTGCTACTTTTGAATTGTTTATCTCCTTCAGCACCCAGTATTTAAAGATGGACAAGTTTGATTTTAGAGAGAGAATAAACTAACAAGGAAACTTATGCTCTTTAGGGAGAAACAGTGTACAACAGCACTGCTGTAGGTCAGCAGCTAGTCTAAATGCACAAAGTTAAAAGAAACAAAACAAACAAACAAATCCCAAACATAGAAATACCCCCAAGAAAGATGAAAAAGCATGTAAAAATCTCAAACTGTCTTCACAGCCAAAACCAATTTGTTTTCAGGAATACTTATATTCGAACAGCTTTTTCTGTTTATAAATGTAACTTCTTCCAATTCCAGTTAGTATAAATAATTATCTATTTCAGAGCACACTTCATAATAGATTGTTTAATTTTAGAGACCAAGACTGCACCAAATCAAATTATGCATCTTCACAACATAAGGATGTGTCTGAAAATCAAAAAATGTGATGTAAAGTTAAAATCGGGTAAGCAGGTGAATTATCTGTGGTACGAACAAAACAGAATTCCTAACAAGGACAGTTTCCTAAAACAACACGGTTCAAAACATGTTCAAAACATGTTCATTCTGTTCAAGGAAAGGAATGTGAGTCTGGTCCAGTTCACACCACTCCAGCAGAAGCCTTTTCTCTTTTAACTTACCTTGCTGGTTTCCGGACTATCGGGATCAAACTGAACTTGTTTAACAGCCAGTTCTCTTCCAGTATCAGCATCGTAACACAGATACACTCTGCCAAATGCACCTTGACCCAGCAGTTTACCAAGTCTCCAGTTAGTTGGAGCTCGTGGTGCTGAAAATATAAGTATGTTTTGGTTTTCAAATGAGCTTGTTATTCAGCTGATCGAGAAAAACTGGAATACACAGAAAATAATTTTTTAAAAGACTACTTTTTCAACAACAGAGACTGTGTGTCCTAAGCCTTACCAAATAAATTACAAAGAGCAATAAAACTCCCTGTAAGATGGAGAATATGAGCTACTTAAATTTATTCACAAAGTAAGTTGTGGTAGAACTAGACTTACTTAAAACAACTAGCAATAGCTAATCTGAAAAACAGAATAAGCATGTTAAACAAACAACTTTCTTTTAAAAAAATCAAGGCATAATTACAAGGTATGAGCTACTGAAGTCATCACAAAGTATACTTGCTCTTGAAACTCTACCACAAGTACGAAGCAGTACCACTAAAAATGTATAGTTTAACTCAAAATATGACCAACATCTATAAAAATAAATAGTAACTACAACCTACAAAACCCTTCTCATGTCCTAAAGAGTGTAAAAAATCACTTATACAATGTTTTGTTATCATAGATGCAAATTCTAACTGAAAGTCTACATGAAGGTTAGCACGGTAAACAATGAAAATACTGATGACCTTTGCCTATTAGAGAGCTAAAACCAGGTTATTTAATGGTATGTGTTCGGATGACATGCTAGGTTTTGACACGATATACTTGAAGAGTAAGAGTTTTACAGGAGGGTTCACAAAATGCCAGAGCTTACAGCGGCTGGGTGGGCTGATGTCCATGACTGACAAGGTAGGATTGTCTATGTCACTGCCCCTCCTCCTCATTCGGTTATCTTCGTATTCTGGCGTAAAGACGCTGCTCCCACTGCTGGTGCTCAGCGAGTGATCAGTGGGACTGAAACTAACTGGTGATCGGAAGTTGTTCCCCTGAGTCCTTCTGGCTCTTGGAAAAGTTTTACGACCTTCAATGATATACACAGAACACAAATATTACAGTACAAAAAGATACTGCAATGCAATGCGTGCATGCAAATACTTTACGAATTCTACATCATCTAGTTTGGATCTGCCACAGTGGAGGACAGGACACAATCATCATGAAATGTACTGCGTTAACCTTCCACTTAGAAGAAAACAAACATTCATCACAGATGTATATAAAGACCAGACAGAATCAAAATCTTGTGTTTAAGAGATGAAAATTGGGACTAAATTCTGGAACTGTTCTGAAATACAATCAACGTGCTTGAAAAATCTGGAGACCTGTAAGAGGAGAAAAGGAAACACCATGCCTCTGCTTTTATTGCTCTATTAATATGCAAATACCAAATTTCTGATATTTAGGAGAACAAAATACATGTTTACAATCCTGTAGTGCCCAAGCCAGCCTCTTCCTTCTGTAAACTAGAAAGAATTGAATGCAGAGAAAGACTGACACATGGAATCAACAGGAACACCAGAGAAGTGTTTTAGAAATCAAAACACAAGCAATACAAAATTTGGAGATGTCTACAGCATCAGAATAAAAAACCAGAGCACCAATCTTCAACATGTTAATTTAATTACAACCAGATGACTAATACAATTTATGTTAATCTATTTAGATAACACAACTATTTTTAGGATAGCATCTCTTGATTAAGTTTCATCCTACAGAACTCAGCAATAACTGGAGTCTCTGATTCATTAGGTATTACACTGGAGGACATGTTCCCAGAGGACTAAAGAAAGCAGATAAAACATCTTTGAAATAGTAGACTCAGACTTATATACCAGTCTGAACAATTTAAATTCCAAGAAAGATATGCAAGCAAGTAATCAAGCAGTTTTGTTCACCACTGAGAAGATAAAAATGTGATAAACCAGTCATAATTGGTTTATCTTATGTAGCTAATCCAATTTTCCCATTCCAATGGGACATTCTCACAAGCCAACCCATGAAGTGCTGCAGACCAGCTTACTATGCAAATTATACTCACGACAGATTCAGAGCCATTATCAGTGATTTCTCATCAAAGGGGAGGATAATTTAAGTGGACATCCCTAGCAGTTTATCTTCAGTCCACTTCCATACACTATTTTAATTCATGATGTACATATGATGGAACTTAACACACTGCAGTATTGCAGATAACATCACGTTAAGTGTGGCTGAAAGTCCATTTAAAGATAAAAATCAAAATTCACAGTGATACTGGAAGTTAGAGATGATTCAAAAATCAACAAGATGAAATTCAGTAAGGAAGTACTACACACATATTTAAAAGAGAAATCTACTGCAGAAACTACAAAGCGTGAAGCAATTGGTTGGCCTGACGTCATGAAGTAAATGATATAGGAAATGTAAGCAAAGACTGAAGAGCAGTCAGAATGTAGGTCAGTACCAGAAAGTAGGGTCATTCTGCAATGTATTAATGTGACTGCTACATACCAAGTTCTGCTTATAAGAAAAGCCTCAGCTTGGGGAGGAGAAGAAACTAAGGCGAGATAACAGGTAAGTGTGTGATGCAGTAACATATGAGAGCAATGACTCACTGTGTTAAAATAGAGTAACTAGTTACTATTTTCACTTGCAGGAAAAATGTTTTGGGAGACAGAGAAGTTAAGTTATAAGATAAGCTATTTTGGAATCTAGTAACATAAAGAAAGTATGTCTTCTGTTGAAACCAATTTAGAGTTCACTTGAAAGTAAGTGTGACAGATCTTTGCCTCTTTAAATCTTGCCTTAGAGCAAGGGACTGGACTTTGCAGTGCCTCAGTTTGGTATTTCTGTGATTCCTGTAACATAATTCCATTTATTGCTGTGCTCATTCCACACTGCAAGTGACACCATCTGGTCTTGGGAGACATTTCTTCTTCACACTTCTTAACTAGTGCTTGACGCACCCTTAAGTATGAAAATCCTACAGCTACTCCTCTCTACTTCCTTTAGAAATTTAACACATGTTAAATTTATATCAATGGTATTACTGTCCAAACCAGTTTTGTGGACACATTAGCAGGTGCTGCTTTGTATTCCAACAATTTATTTCACCTGCTAATTCTCAGTTTACATCACTGCTCTTAAATTTTATTTACTCTTTTAATCTAAGAAACTGTTAACAGGAACTCCATCGTACTTGAGATTTCTTAAAGCAAAACAAGACATTACAAACCGATGTACCTAGTTTAGCTATAACAGGGTCACAAAGGTCAAAAACTTACAGTGTATGACTTGTGTGTGGCCAAAGACAGCAAACATTTCCACAGTTGTGCATATGAGTCAGAAATTCTGAAATCCATAACTCTGCCAGACAATAAAACTGCCCAGAGGTTCTATCTATCATTAGAAGCTTAGCAAGTGAGTTTGGGGAAAGAATATAAGCTTTCAGTTTCTGCAATATTTTAAGATCTTACAATTTTATTCACATTTTCAGATAAGAAAAACAGATAATTAAAACTGTTGCAGTGTTCATACTTACCATCACTGTAGTCTTGCTGATGATATGAAATATGATATCGTCTGGGATAAGTCCCCCCCTTTCCAAATTTCTCAAATATTGGGATATCATACTCTACTAGAAAATAAAAGGATTCATTTCAAAATTTAAAATGTGACAAAAGAATGTTAAATTAATCACTTTGGTAATACAAACTTAAAATACAAACATATCAGAGGATATGAAGGATTGAAGCATCAGAGCAAAAAGAGATTTATGAAACAAAATCACACAACTCACAAGAACTGAAAGGACTTCAGTCAAAAGCCCCGAAGGACCAAAAATTCAATAGCTCAAGTGGTTTGTAACCTCTTGCTTAAAAAGAATGTTGGAGGACTGTAGTATGCCTGATTACTCCAGTTTTAAAACTACTTTCTGGAGGAGAAACTATTCCAAAGAACATAATTTAAAGTTGTATAAATAAGAAAAACTGGTGAATGAGTCAACACAGCTTCAATTACTAAAACACATTCAACAGATCCTCTTTTAAAAGTTATTGAGGGGTAAAAGTATAAGATAAGGGGAAAAGTCCCTCATGCATAAATAATTGGTTAGAAGATAAATACATTAAAAAGGAGGAAACAGTCAACAGTCCACAGGAATCTGGGCTAAAACCCATGAGCTTAGTTATCCATGAATTCTCTGTGCAGAGCAAGGAGCAGTGAGGTGACAAAAACCACTCTGAGAAATAAAAACAACAGAATAATTAGAGAAAGCCCTTATGAGTCTACATGACTGGATATTAAAGTTGCAGATGAAATTCAGTGTAGGCTTCTGTAAAGGTTTGCTATAGAGACTTCCTAAAAAGCAGCACCTGAACTCTTTGTATTAGCTGAGAAGAAAATTAAATGCTGCAAGATATACTGAACAAAATTTTGGTCTACTCCATTTCAAAGAATTTAGTAAAACTGAAAAATATTCCAAAGGACAAAGATGATCAGACATACAAAATTGCTTTTCCATAAGGAATGGAGGCCTCTGTATACTAGGAAAATAACAGCTCAAAGGGAGCAAAGAGGTCCGTTAAAAAACCAAACCAAAAATCCACCAGAAAAACAGTAACAAAAAAAAAAAACCAACAAAGCAAGCATTAAAAAAAAGTCACAAAGCACATACTTCTTCATAAAACACAATAAATTGCATAACTTTCTGTTGCAACCTACAGCTGTTGCTGAGAAAGTTTATACAAGTTGAAGCAGGGACAAGAAAAATTTGTGCAAGGAAAAAAAAAAAATCTATCCAATCACAGATAGATATCATATATCAGATATATCAAATATCAGATAGATATCTGATATATCAAATATCAAATCACAGATAGATAGATAGATATTGAAGAAGAACATCTTGCATTTACAGAACCCTTGAGCAATACCTGACTAGGAATATATTCTGAGAGAGGAACACTACACACTCCCTGTAGAAGCCCAGTAGTGGTTGTGGCAGGAGGAAAGACTAGGCCAGATGGATATTTTTTCTGCTTGTGCTACACATCAAATCATGATAACAAATATTGAATATGGAATTAATGATTACTGTCTATCCCACTGTCAACATACCAGAATATGCCATGGGAAAAAACCCCCAACAAATCCCCATTAAAAATACTGCAATATGATCTTATTAGAAAAGTAACTGCAATGAACATAATGTAAAATAAACTAGATTAGGATTATACAAAAGGCAAAGTAATTTCTGACATTTTCAAGTCTTTTGGTATTTATCTCTGCCACCTAAATGCTTCTTACACACAGTTTTAGTTTTATTTAAACTAAAGTTTTAAAGTTTTTTAGTTTTATTAAAAACTTTAGTTTTATTTAGTTTTATTTTTATTTAAAATAAAATCTGGTGCAGTCTGTGAAGCATTCCAGAATTCTAAAAAGAAAAAACTCACCATCACACATTTATCTTGATAAACTTCAGAATCAAAATAAAAAAGTGCCTCAAAATATGTAACAGACTGAAGAAACACAAAACCTTTTTGATTTACTGGAAACTAAGTATTGTTCAACAGCAAAGTATTGTAGTGAGACATGACTGTGAGAAGACACTTCAGAGCACTTCCAAGGTTACCCACTGCACTTCACAGCCCGAACCCTGCACAACAACTTGGATTTGAGCCAGAGTATTGTATCAGAAAAAAAACATTAGTGGTGATGATTAATTTATAGGCACAGCACACAGCTCTCCATCCTTTCACTTTGCAGTGCTTTCAATTACAGAAGTCATGAGCACTTCAAAGTGATTCTTATTTCACATGGAAGAAAACAAAGGCTCCATGTACTGGTTTTGGCTGGGATAGAGTTAATGTTCTTCATAGCAGCTCTTATGGTGCTACATTTTAGATCTGTGGCCAAAACACTGTTGATAACATATTTTAGTTATTGCTGAAACACATTTACACAGAATCAAGGAGCTTTTGTGCTTCTACCAGCTGGTAGAGTGGGCTGGGAGGCACACGAAGTTGGGAAGGAACACATCTGGGACAGCTGGCACCCACTGACTCGAGGGATATGCCATACTATCTGAGGTTTTGCTCTGCAACAAAAGCTGGGAGGAAGACAGAGGGAGGACATTCATAGTGATGGTGTTTGTCTTCCCAGGTAACCACTAGGAGTGATGAAGCCTTGCTTTCCTGGAAATGGCTGAACACCTACCTGCTGATGAGAAATAGTGATTGAAATCATTGTTTTGTTCTGCATGTGTGTGCAGCTTTTGCTGTACTATTTAACTCCCTTTATTTTAACTCATGAGTTTTCTTACTTTTCCCCTTGGATTCTCTCCCCGATCTCATACAGAGGAGTGAGCAAGCAGCTGTGTGGGGCTTAGCTACCTACTGGGGTTAAACCACACCACCTCCAAATTAAATAAACTGACTACAGTTATACACCAACTTAGATATTACAGTCCAATTTAACCAAGTGTTGTGTGACCCCATACATTGCAACATTTGCTCTTTTTATGGAGGCAGACAGTTATACTACACCCACTAGGAGTGGTGTCACACACAATCATCTGGAGAAATGTGAAATTTCTTGTAATTCCGTGCTCTCTTTCACTGTGTGCATTTTAGTGTCGCTTTCTTCTACCATACTGTTTGTGTAATAAAATACTTCTCTGATGTGAAAATCCATTCTTAGTCCTGTTATTTGCAAGAGGAGCAGTTCTGGAAAGCTAGTGTGTCTCCAGTGATTTTTGCCTACCTGAGAATTCCTGATGATTATCTGGATAGCTCTGTGCTCTTGGCATCCGAGACTTGGGATAGTTGTCCCTGGAAGTGTAAAAATACACAGAATCTGGAATCTGTTAATCTAGACTTAAGCTTACTGTCGTCTTATTGATGAAAAGCCACTGTTTTTTTACAGGTTGATGCACTGGTTTACAAACGTGGAGCCCAATTCTGAAACTCAATTCTAGTAGGTAACTGTAATAACTGAGGATCAGTAACAATGGGAAAGCTTGCTTATTGAGCTTAATGTAGGTAAGAAAGCAACAGACTGTTAATGAGCGATGATATTAGTAAAAACATGAATGATCGCAAGTACAGCCACAAAGGAACACTGTTATATTTAACACCTTAATGGCTAAACACAAAGGTTTACAGACTGGCAAAATCAGTTATACAGACTACAGAAACTCTTGAGGAAATTTAACCAAAGAAATGTAGAACCTTTTAATGAGGAAAAACATTTCCTCTTCTCTCCATGAAAGCCATAGGATTAAGAGAGTGATTTTATTGAGTTATAGAATGATGAAGAATTTCTTGGTTCTTACATGATCACATTGTTTCTTACCTACAGTTGGTATGTAACTCCCAGCCACCAAAAGGAATGGATGGGATTGCCAGTCAGAGCAATCGATAACAGTTTATTTCCATAAACATACCAAAACAGTGTCCTCCTTTTTCTGGTAAGAATTTCTCTAATGGGTAACAGAAGCTAAATGGAGACACAAAACCTACATCTTTGTAGGAAATATTAAAATGAAAAAAAAAAAAAAGGAAAACAAACTAAGTAGAGGTGACAAATTAAGTAAATAAAAACAACCAAAAGAAGTTTTGAAGAAGAAATATGAATTGCATTGAGTTTGCTTTGTTTCCCTTCTTCCACTCTTACCCCACAAAAACCCTAAATTTGGCAGTTAGGTAAATTTTTTTTCTATGGAGTCACATTAAACACTGTGTATGTGTAACCTATCACACTGAAACCACAAAATACTTTTCATGTCTACTGTCTTCTTGCTAGTGAAATGCAGATTTTTTCAACTCAAAACTGTATTTGTTAGACCAAATCCATTTGTGTCCTCAAACCACATATTCTCAACTGAAGTAGTACTACTGAGTAATACAGCTCTGATTAAATGCGACAGACAGTGACCTCCAACTCTTCACCATTCTACCAATTAAATAAAATATTTAATTAGCAGTTTTATTTGTTTGGCAGTTTGAAATAAACAAAGAGCAAATCTGCACATTAAACCCAAGGTTATTTGCCTGACCACCATAAACCAAACAGGAATATGTTTATACTTGACTTGGCTGGTGGACAGTGACCCCTCAAAACACAAGTCTCCTCAGAGGTCAATCCAAAAAGACTCCCCACAGCACACACTGCCCCTTGCTGACTGGTGGGCTTTAATAAAGAAAAGTAAGTTCAAAGCTTGCAACAGGAACAAGGGAAAAAGAACAGACAGTAATTGCAAAGGAAAGGATGGGATTGCCTGTTGAAGTCTCTAAACGATTCTACCCTCCTTCTTGAATTGGGTACCCCCTGCTTTGGCAAAGGAAAGCCTACTTCATACAGCAGTACCTAAGAACTGTAAATTTATTGGAGTGGCTCACTGCCAAGCAATATACACTACACATATGAATGACCTAGCAACATTTAGTAAAAACCTTCAGTACATTTTTTTACAACCTTAAACCTAAATGTTTGTGGTTTAAATACAAATTATTGAAGAAAAAAAAAGCGCTACAGAATTTTCTATGTATTAGTAAGCAATTAAGTTTCAGTAAATTTTTATACACATTTCAGAACTTACAAAGAAATTTCTGGAAGAAATACTGTCACTCGAGAGGAGCTGTATTTTACAACTGAAACATTATCCAAGCTAATAAAGAAAATTTATTAATTAATGTAAATAAGTTTTACCCATCTAACGGGCTGTCAAGCGAGGGACAACTTCCTGAGCCAGAGTTTTCAGGACTGCTCAAAGACAATGGATCCAGCATCTAATAAATAATAAACAGAGGAAGATCAACAAGTTCAAGGAGGTTTTTTTTCAATTTTTTTTTTTCTAAATAGTTAAGAGTTTTGCTATAAAACAGCTAATAAGAAACAAATCCAAATCAGATAAGAACTGGTAAAAACAGAGTGGAAAGCTCATCTGTTGCCTTAAAATGAGCTCCTTCCTAAAATGAAGTCTGCTTTGGCATATTATATAACATCTGTTATTTTCTGTGAATTGGACACCAGGCTTTTGCTGTAAATTAAGCAGTTATCCCTCCAATTTTTATGGTCTGCACTGCTTCTTAAAGGTCCTGGGCACATACTTTGCCATACACCAATCAAGGAGTTACTAAAGAAATAGTGTCCAGAAAGTGAGTTTGCACTCTACAAACTCAAAACACTTAAATGAACTCTGCATTAGGGAAGACAACATTTACTACAGGTTCAGCATTTTTATTCCTCTTGTCTCATGCTGAACCATATTGATTACCTCTCTAACCCAATGTACTATGGCCCAACTGGCAGCCCATGGGTTCTATCCAACCCCTCATCTCTTACAGTAAGTATGGGGTCTGCTGCCAGAGTGCAAATAGCTGTGCTCAGGCAGATCAACAGCAGAGCAGAGCAAAGCCCTCCACTCTAAATTCCCTTCCTGTCTCTGTTGGGCAGGCTGTGACAGATAAAGGCAGCATGGCCAACACTTGCCAAGGTGATGGGACAATGTGGGAGAGGGGTGGGGAGGGAGCGAACAGAATTTGTGAGCCTACTACCCCAAACTGGCCTTGAGGCTGCTTAGGTTGAACTAACTTGGCTTCTTATGGAATTAAGATTCATTAATTTAAACCTGCTGACAGCTCACACAGCTATGCATACATGACAGTTTATATATTTCTGGAATACTTAGGAGTGAATGGACATCCCAGGCTTCAGGGATCATCCATCTATCTGACCAGTCAGTGACCAGAAATTACTTTGCCCAGGCCAAAAGTAACTATTTCACTGGAATGAATCCAGACCTGGAGTGGATCTAACCACATGGCTATGATAATGAATAGCCCTGGTCTGGAAAGTAGGAGATTCAGTCTCTATTCTCAGCTCAGTCACTAAAATTGTGCAACAAGTTGCACTATCCCTTTGCCTTTATTTTATCATCTGTCTCTCATTTAGTCAGCTCATAAAACCCATTGCCTCTTGCCATTTGTAAATACACTGCCAATGTCAACAACAACTTGAACTGATTTGTGTATGCAGCATTATTTTTCTTTCCTCCTTGAAACATCTCTTTCTCCATTGCCAATTCTGTAAACAGTTACATTCCTGCTTTCCCTTCTGTTTTGAAGGGCAATTTTTTATATTCAGAGAGCAGGATTTTTATTTTTGCTTAGTGTGTTGATATCCTACACTAATGCAGGTGAAAAAGAAAAAAATAACATACATTTGTGATCTTTACACACCAAAAAAAGTGAATTTGCGAAGTATTTCAGAGCTTATTTATGCCAGGCCTACCGCCATCCCTTTGCCTCTTCCCCACCACAGTACCTACCACACAGAATCACAGAATATTCTGAGTTGGAAAGAACCCACCAAGATCATTGAGTCCAACTCTTAAGTATCAACTGAATCCAAATAATTCTTTCTAAAAATCTCCTTTTAATTACCTGGAAAAGTTGTAAAGCAGGTCATGCTTACATATCATTCTCAGTAAAATAAAGGGGCTTGTGCTTTCTAATGAAGACATCTCAGCTGTTATTTGTGTCTATCACTATCTCATTCAACTATTGTGGCAATCAAGAATATTCTCTTTCTCCTTGTGACAGAATATTTAAAAATTGAAGAGACAAAGGATAAAAACCAACCAGGTTCTGCAAGACTAAACAGCACAATTATTTCAACCTTATGTCACCAATCAAGTTTTATAGATTTATCATCAATTTTTTTGCTGTTCTTTCTAATAAATCCATATCCTTCTTGAACGGCAGTATTTCATAAATAAACTTAACAAAAACTTTAATTTCAATAATCACAGATGTACCTGATCCATACTTTCTGGAATGAATTCACCCTCACTGTTGATACTGGTGAAGGACCCATTTCGAGCCACCTGATGCAGCTCATCTGGAATGTATCCTGGGGGAGGTGAACTTCTATCACGAGTATTAGAACCTTTTGAAAGAAAAGGACCAGTCAGAATCTCTCCACCAACCCAGAATTCAAGGGCTTTATTCAAATGCTTCACAGGCACTGAACCTGCCTGGATCACTTCTTGCTTGAGGAATCCCCCAAATGCCCATGCAATACAAGACTTAAGTATAGCATTTAAAAGCTGCAATCCAGAAATTATGATAAATTTGGGGCAGAGTTGTCTCAATGACATTAAAGAGAATTTTCATTATACAGGAACAGAAATGTAATTTGCCCACACATCTAGCAGGGTAAATTCCTTCTTTTGAATAAAATCAAACCCCAAACCCTTCTACACATGTCAACTAATCCTTTCCAGCTCTTGAGAATTTCAATATTTCTTTATTTAATATTACGTCTACAAGAACATAAATACACGTATTCATAATAAATGCATAATGATTTAATTAAATTGTCTGGAAAATTATTCATTAAGCTCTCCACAGTTTCATAATTAAATTTGGAAGTTAACATCACCCAACTTTAAAACATGATTAAGCAAAAATGTTATACCAATCCCAAAATCAGTATCTTAAACAAATGCTCACAAAGTAAAAAAATATGGGGGTTCTAAACTGAGCAAGGAAACATATTGCCATATAAGCAAATTTTTCAGTAGTTCACTCCTGTATCAGAAAATAAAGGGGAATACTAACATCAGCTTTTTAGGTTACCCTGAAATAACTCTACATACACTTATTTACTTCTAAGCTGGTTTTGATAATTTTCAGTATCATATATATTTAAAACAGTTTTGTCTTAATAGTCAAAATCCACTCCCCCAAATGCAAATTCTATAGCAGTCACTGATGACTTGTAGAGACAGTCTGTGTTGAGAGCAAAATTTTCATTAAGAGAATACTACAAAAGACATTTTTACAACAAAAGCTATTGAAATCTGCAGCTTACCTATTACAGACAGTCGCCTTTTTCTGTCTGTCACACCAAACACTGTATTATCTAAATCTTCCAGTGAGGGCAAGGGTTCCACGTTATTTACACTGGGAGACTGAAAATGCATAAGTATTACAACTGCAGTTATTACTGTACATTCCTGACAATGAAAATACTTTACAAACTTTATAGATTTTGTGCAGTACATTCCATTTTTTAAGCAGTCAAAAAAGTAGCTTGCCAATTTACATCAGAATTCATCTATTTAAGTAGCTCATTTGTAGTCTTTAAAATTCATTTTCAATATGCACCAGTATACAAATCTTATGAATATCAATGCCATGATTTGTTAGATAATACCAAAATATCTCAGCATTTAGTCTACAGTCCATTAGTCTGTGCTGCAACAAATATTGAACTTCCCACATATGACTTAAACAAAAGTTTCAAATCGCTACCATTACTTGAATTCTGTATGCTTTTTTAGTAACATTCTAATAAGGCTCACTTTTCTACCACTGTAGGGTAGACAAACAAAAAGACAGGAACAGGATCTAGGAAAGAGCTAAAACTGAGTAAGAACAAAATGCTAATGGATGCTAAAAGTGAAATGAAGAAGCAATCAGTATTATATTCAATTGAGAAAATGCCATCTTTAAGAAAAGATACAAATTATAATTCATTTTGAAAACTGAGGTAAAAGATACTTATCATGTCTACTCATACCTGTGTATTTCCATGTATTACAAGCAGTATCTTGAGACTTTTCATATGTACACTACGGTCAAGTAGCTCGACAGCTTTGTCCAGGTCATCCTGTGTGGTTAATGGAATTACAAGCTACAAAAAAGGGGCGGGGGAAAAAAGTCTTAAACAGGACACAAGAAATAAATGAGGAATTCAAGTGCAGAGAAACCAACAATCTTTCCTTTCATAGCAAATAACTTGAAAATAAACCTTATTAAATGATCCCCTAAGTAAGTATTAAAAAGTCTGGAGATCAACCTTAACTCTTCCTTCAGATTCCTCTTTTAAGTGGAACAAGTCTTCACAAGAACCAACATTTAATATATAGGACTTAAATATCTGAAAGTTTCAGCAAAATGGATGCAACTGGATCAATGCCTAAATTAACACAAGTCTGTAGGATAAACAAAAGTCCTATTTCATAGAGTATAAGGCAGATTTTTGCATTTCAAATATTACAAATATACTTGTTTAAAGTTGCATCACTAACAGAATTTCTCCACTGAAGAACAGCATTTGTTAAGGAAGATGTGATCCATGTGCAACAACTCTAGTCTTCACTAGAATCTTACCTGGATCTAATTAATTACAAGTAACTTGACATAAACGCATCTTTATAACAGAAAACTATGCCATTAATGTGCAGCTGAGGTCTGAATCCCGTAACAATTAGAATTTGGCTCGTGTTTCAGGAGTGTAAATTACAGCTTCTCCTTGTAACAAAGCAAAAACTATACAGATTTTTAAATCTATTCTACTATTTTAAATCTGTTCTATTCAGTCAATGATACTCAAATACAACACCAGTCCAAATACAGTACTTTTATACAAAAAAGATAGGATTGAGGAAGATCTTGATAAAATGAAGAGTATGCTTATTTGTTAAATTGCACTTTCAATGCTAGTGACACATTATTACCATCACATTTCTGACAGGTGATGGGATGAAGTGCCAACTAATGCAGAAGGTAACAAGAAGAAACATACTCATGTGCCTAAAAATCTACCAGTGGAAGGAGTTGAGGCTAAAGCATTATGAAGGGCCATTTCACCTGACCTTCCTAATTGCCAAAAACCTTCTGATGGAATTCTTAATTTTGAGGATCAGTTTCACAGAAGCGCCTGGTAGTGAGTAACCAACAAACAGCAATCACTGGCATTTTCTTCTGCAAAGATGCAGGGTAGATACAGCAGTTCCATTGTGCTTAACCAAGCAGATGAACAAGCCTTCAGGCACTTTGCTGACTCAAGGCAAAAGCCAGATGTAACCACTAAGAATGGATCCTGCATCTGTAAATATGTTTGCTATTAATAATTCCATGGCTTCTTCTAAAGGAAAGCCAGAAGTAATATTTATCAAGCATAAGTGGCTTGACAGTGCTGGCACGGTTACCAAGAAATCTTTGGGAACCCAATACTTTAGAGAAGCAACAGTTAAGCCTAGTTCTCCAATCTACACATTATCTAAATGCAGCATTCTAGCAATTATCTAACAAGACTAATCCTTAAAGAAAATTATCTACAAGAAAGGATAAATGCTATTTCAAGTTTACAAACATAACAAAGCTCAAAGAGGTAAAGAATTTCCTAAGGTCCCACAACAGGACTGTGGTAGATCAGGAAGACAATTTATCCATTCCTCAACAATTTGGAGGCATCATTATGATATAACACTACTCATGAAACACTTCATTCATTTCCTGCCTATCCTAACTTGGACAAGACCTACATGTTTGAGAAAACACATATACACACATTCGAAATTTGGGGGTTTGTTACAGGAGTAAGTTGGGTCATAGAAGTTGTTCCCACTTCTTACAAGATCGAATTTCAGCCTTAAAACGATCCATGTCCAAGGCAAGAATTTAGAGGACACAGAGTATTACCTCATTATTGCTGTAATGTAAATCCATAGTCTGTCCAAAAGCAACTTTAGCTTTAGCTGCAAGATCTTCAAGTTTAACAGGCCTTGGTAATTGCAGGATCCTGAAACACAATTTAAGTTATGAAGAATTTTTGTCCGTTACTTATAAAAATCTGACAACTCATTACTTAAGAACTATCTCAGAACTAAATTTATTATTAAAAATACTGTTAAGAGGCTATACTTTATTCCCTGTCCTCCATATTTTGAGACTTTCAAAAAAGAAAGTAGTGAAAAATCTAAAAGGGAAAATCAGATACAGAATTAGATTTCATTGTAACTATTTAACACGCTTAATGTTTAAGCCTCCATTTCAGAGGGAAATTCTTAGAAACTTCTACATTTTTCCACTTGAGAAAACTAAGACAATGGAGTACCACAGCCTGACAAGCATAAGCATCATAAAGGAATTACTCCTGTAGTCCCCATTTTTTGGAAATCCAAAAGACTATCTTACCTGAGGAAGGTAACTAAAAGTCACCATCTTTACCATAATGAACTACACACTCAAACTGCCCAGTCCATCACTAACTGTGCTTCAAGTGTGTTCCTGTAAGAATGGTGCAGTTGTAGGTCAACAACTTAGATTTTCTTTTAACTCAATGTCCCATCAAACCAGTTAGCCCAAACTGCCTATAACTAACCTTTTGCTATAGAAAAACATTTTATCTTTTGAGCTACAACACCATGAAACAAAAAAGAGCTTTTAATAGTGACAAAGCTATTACTGTACATTCAATTCATTGAAAAAAGAAAGAGCACTCAAATTCTGTGATGTAGAAAAGTTAGCAAAGGGTACCTGTCCCTTTTATCAGTAATTCAGTATAGTGGTTTGGGGGACAATTTTTTTTCACTGACATGATGCTAGAAAGGCCACTTCCAGTTAAAAATTACTTTAAAAAAATAAAGTCTTTTAAAAAACACCCTAGAAAACCAAACAAACCAACCCCCACAAAAAACCAACAAACACCAATTCTCAGGCAAAATAAATTGTCAGCAATTGTAGTTAACAATTTGGGCAGCAAGCCTGCAACTCTACCCATCAACTACACGCTCCTTGGAACAAAGTGCCACATTCACCACTGAAAGCAAGTCTGGAATCACTTCTCTTTTTCACTTCCCTTTTTAAAAACTAGTGAGAAAGCCATTGCATAACTTTTTTTTTCCTGCATGATTTCTTCACTTGATTATTAAATCTACATGCTCAGGCAAACAAAAGTATTACATTGAGCAATGAACCTAGGCTGCCCAGTACCCCCAGGCAAGCAGGCTGAAGTCACTTGGGACAGTTCATAACAGAGCTAGGACCATGAGCATGAAAACTTGGGAAAGGTATCTTTCCACACACTTTATGCTTGTAATAATATTGAACTGGTTAACTTAGTCCACTGTGAAAGTGAAATATGATGAACTGCAAAATGCACCTCTGTGCAGACTGGAAGAAAGTAAACATTTCTCTGTTTAAAATTCATGCTTCCTCTTACTTCACAAGAAATTGTTAGGTAGATGAGAACTCAATTCTCAAAACCTTCAAAAAGACTTATTCCCTCCAAATTACTTAGAGAACTCAACCATTACTAATGCAGTTTTACATGTGATGTTCAGAGAAGTGATAGGAAGAAGCTGAAGAATGTTGATACCTAGGGAACGCTGTTTTTTTACTGCTTCATGTGAAGAGAGGGCACATACTATAATCAGTTGATACACAGCTGTTGCACTTGACACTAAGGGCTGCCCAGAACTAGTACAGGTTTCATTGAAGCTAATTTTACTTAAAGGATTTCTCTTGAGAAATAGCATGTCCAGGATATTATTTCCTTTTTCCCTAAGTATTTTCAAAGTTCTTATTCTATAATAATTTCTCTGTAGGTAGAATGAAATTTGATACTTTCAGAAAGAGACAGGCAAAATAAATTGTCAACAAACTGGTTCTGCATGGAATTATATATCAAATTCTGTAAAAGCTTTTGAACAGCCACCAGAAAAGAGATTATATAGACAGATGTTTGCATACTTTAAGCAGGTGCATCATCCACCTCTCATAAACAAAATGTAAATAAAAGTAACTGATAAAATGGAAACTATCTAATACATTTTCCTCTTACAGTTGTCAGACTGGCACCCCTGAAGTACAATCCAACCTCTTCCGTTGGGTATTACAGTAACAATAAATTATCACACATTTATTACACACACAATGAAGGACAAAAACTTATTTTCTGGTCTCTTCAAACTTGAGATCTATTTTAAAAACGTACGTAATTATTCATAGCAACAAATATCTATATAAAGGGTAACCAAATGAAGGATACTACATTGGATGTAGTTACAGTATGACATTTAGGTGTTTATGCATACTTAGAACCCATATTAATAGTTAATTCTCTTTAAATTGTGTTAATATAAAAACTAAATTTAAGCTCAAATAAAAAAAAACTTAGAGATCTGAAGCACTTCAAACCATTAATTTGAAACTTTACAACAAGAGCACAACAAAATTCTATAAACAAAGAAACAAGACTGTCTCCTTACCTTTTTTCACCTCGATGTTCAAATTTGACTCTAACATCATTCTGTAAGAAAAGAGACAAAGGAACCACTATTAGTTTGTTATTACCTCTTTTGATTAAGCCAATTAACTCCCATTCAATACTCCTACACTAGAACTAAGTTCCATATTAATTTTCTGTCCTTTCCAATATATTAAGTATTTTAACGAGCTATCTGCTGAGGTACATGATAGAGGCTTAAAGAGTTAAAAAACAAGTGTTAAAAATAACTTCAAGTGCTAAAATACAAAATACAAAAACTTATTCTGAAGTACAATGAATGCTTCTGTAAATAAAGATATTTTCTATCAATACATGTTAATACTGTAACAGATTTATGACTTCAAATTTAATGCAGAATTGGTTACCAAAGAATTCTCTATCCTGAATAGGCAGATAGATTTAGCTACCAATAACGTGTTTGTAAGTACACTTTGCAGCTGAATGTTCCAGGTCTAAGAAACATATCTTGTTTCATAAGCATTACCACAGAAACCCACACATGTAGTTAAGCCAGCAGTCATGCAGTACATTTCTCAATAACCATCTCTGTATAAATTTGTAGTTACATGGAAATAATATTGCTTTGCAAAAATCTTAATTTAAGAATCCAATTGTATTAGCAACTATTGCAGGAAAAACAATAATGCATTCAACCACAAAGTTTATCCAAGCAACAGTGTTTCATCTTCCAAAAGAACTGACTTTCAAAAGATGACTTTCAAATCCACAAATTGAAACAGTGATAAACATTTTTTTTAACTTTCTAAACATACTCAAATAATTTCAGATTATATGTGCATGTTAGCACAGTGTCTAAAGTCACAGCTTAGAAGTGAGTTTCATGAAAGTAGCAAAGCACCACTGTGTTACACACTGAACTCGCACAACTTTTGAAGCACAAAATTATGTAGACATTCGGTTTTGACAGTTTAAGAGCCAAATATACCCAAATATTTTGATTTTTAGAAGGTTAAAATAAGCACAAACTGAAGTTTATTGAACTGGAAATTAAGAATCAAATCAAATAAATATACAGTTAACTCAATTTGGGAAGAAGTCTACATCCTCTCCTAATCTCTCCATATAGTAGCTCAAACCTGTCAACTAAGTATTTACTACTTTTCTATTTGGGTTCAGTATCTACAGAAAAAAAAAATGCAGTGTAAAGAACTCTTATTTCCAGCACATGAACAAGAAATTGAGGCCAAGGATGTAGTGAAAGAGTTTAAGCATATTACTGCTGCTGTACTGACATTCTTTATGATACAGGTGACAACTGGGTAATCTACTAAACCTATAAAATTATTCCTTGGTATTTAAAAATAGTATAGTTTCAATATAATAACAATAACAAATATAAAATCACTTTACATATGGCATAAATACCTCTATAATCTTCAATTTATTTATTTAAGCATACACTATGATCTGTTCTGAAATGACACCATTTCATTTTTCTGCTAGTATAAGAATATGAACAAAGAAAATGGCAGCTCACGTGGGAGACTAATAAGTCATTCTGGTATGCTCACTGGTCTGGCAAGAAAAATAATTATAGAAGTCGCAGCAGGATATTCCATGTTCAGTACATTAGTGAGGATATTGAAGATTACCTGTTTTTTAGGTGAAGATGACTTTGGTTTTCCTGTTTCTTGCTGGGGCAATACAGGACGACTGGCCTTATGAAGCACAGCCAAATCCTGCATGATTGAATTCAAAGCTTGCTGCTCATCTGCTCAGAGAAAACGACCAGACAAGTGTTACTTTTGAATGGCATTTCTGTCTCATTTTACAATTATACAGGCATTAATCTAAGAGTCTGCATTACACTTCAATACGTAATTGCCAAATTGAAAAAAAAAATCATTGCCACATTGTAAACGTCTGTATTTATCGCTAGCAGTGCTTAAGGAAATAAACAGCTTAATCAGTAATCCAAATTCAGTAACAGATTTTAAAAAACTGAAGTCATAACAGAGATTAAACTTTACACAACTGCAGGCTGTATTAATAAAAGAAAGGGGATGCAGGGGAAAGCTTTGTCTACTTCGATTCAAACAATATGCATAGATGAGATGTTGACTAGAGATCATACTTCCTGCCTCTTTCCAAAAAATAAAGAACAAAAAGCAAATTCTTCTGAGCTATTTCTCATCTGTCCTGAACAGGTATGATTATGCCCATGAGAGGCATACACAAACTCCCACATGAACACCTCAACTGCCTGAGCATCTGCTGATAGTCCACAGAGCATTATAAAAATCCAAAACAAAAAACCCACCACAACAAAAAAACAATAAACAAACCAAATATAAAACATTAAAGAACTTTTCCAGGACTGAAAATACATAGGATTTTAGGGCTTAAAGGAAGAATTCACAAGAAGAATCAGAAGCAGTGAACCCAAGGGACAATTTGGGGTAAGAATGCTATATAACTTCGGTTTCAGTTACAAAAAATCCTAAATCCTGACAATCTGCTGCAGCTGTGATGTCCTGATAGACAAGATTTGCCCTAGAACTGGGATGTTCCTTTACACAGAAAAGCACTTAGGAGCTCAAAAGCTTGTACATCCATCCCTAAGAGTAATTTATTTCTAGTATTTTATATTAATTCCTTGCCACAGACATAGTACTGCACCCAGCATATATCTAGAACACTGGATAACAAAATTTTTCTCCAGATGTGTTGACTGTGTGCCCTCATGCTTCTTCACAATGGATATGCTTGTTGAAGAATTCATTGGTAAATGCTGTGATTTATAAAGAACCATATTCCTCAAACATGGACCTGAGAAAAACTCAGCATTAAAAGGAGCAAGCAATCATCTCATGTATTCAGCAACAGTAAGAATTCCTTCACATTCTACTAAAATATAACCAAACATATTTATCATATAAGGAAATCTTGGGATTTCAGTGTTCTAATTTAACAGATTCCTTATAGAACAGAAATCTGGTCTGAAAAGTTAGTAACTTTGATCATCACTCTTGCTGTCATTATTCATAACTCTACTAAGATACGCAACTCTATAAAATAAAGTTTTACCAGCAATATTTAATAGCAGAACTGAAGGCGTTCTTGCAGGTCAGTTTTTCATTTCACACATGACAAACTTTGCCATAATTAAAACAGTTGAACTATTTTATTGTGTTATGGCCTATTCTAGTGCTCAGCAATGTAAAAAATAAAATAATGCATTAGCAGTTGGTTGGAGTTTACAGCGGTTACTAGATTGTGTATTTTATACAAAGAAACCAAAGTACTGTGACAAAGCTTCTAAAGCTACTAAATTTCCAATATGACTCAACAATCACCTCCCACACAAAATGTGGGAGAATATCAGAAATCTGAAGAGTGCTGTATTCCTAGATTGAGCAACTTGATTATTAAGCATAAGGTTAGAAAAAACTGGCAAAACATTAAAAGATAAATAAAAGCAATACAAAAATGTGTGTGGTATGGCTGGTTGGTTTGCTGGGATTTTTCTGGAGAGGGAATACCAAGAAATTATTACAATAGCAACATGGTTAACTCACTAAAAACATACAACTTGAAAAACTGACATACAATTTAAAATGTGCCACAAAACTAGAACAAGTCCAACCATCTGCACAGAAGTGGCTTTGAACTGTAGTAAGGCAATAAGATAAAACTCTTATATGTAGATTTTTGTGGTTTGATTCTTTCTAACATTCATTACACCACTTAGCGCACAGTAAGTATTGCTCAGTACCCTAATACCATGAATCTCAGTTTCCTCAACTTGAATCTCTAAGTTACCACGTAATGAGGGAAAAGTACTGTTATATGGAATGTACACAAACAATCCCCAAAAAAACCCAAAAGGAATATTTTCAATACTAGTGAAGCTGCTGAACGCTGCCTTTCACATATAGATGTTACACTGTGTTAAACAGCCAAAGCACATTTCCCAGGAATTGTAGTAAATTTTAATATAAGTTACACAGAATACTTACCCATTATAGCAGCGAGTCTGAAAACTCAAACTTCAGGGAAATGGTTGCTTCATTAGCATTATTTTATTTCCTAAAATGCAAAACAAAAAACCTTACAATTATTGAAGTTGTCAAATCCATGTAAAACAGTCAACTTACTGTTTATGGTCAGTTTTTCTAAGATTCTACATAGCAAACACACATATAAACCACAAATAAGCTTGCATAAGACACACATATGATGTGTGAAGAAAACAGATAATGCCCCCAAAGCCTCACCATCTCTGTGTAGCATATATAATTTCTGAAGATATCAAGCCTGAACTAAATATTCTAGACTAAAGCTGATTTTAATCTCTACCTACACCCCTAAATGATGATTAGTAGCTTAACAGTAACACTCTACTACATGGGCTACACACAACTCCAGATTATTAAGATCCAGTTCTTTTTCTACAGGTCCCGTATCTGGTGTTCAAAGTTCTGTGTTCAGAACCACATACATGTAGTTCATATCTATAAATATATATGAAACTCACAGCACAAATCAAGAGCCAGCAATACCTACTGATTACATAAACTAGAAAATTTCTGCCTTTTACCTATATATCAGATAAGTCACCTACCACCAACTATTACAAGCTCCATAATAACCAAGAAGAGCTTCAGTTTCTAGGGAAGACCCAGAGATCCCACTATGTAATCAGAAACCAGTTCAGCTAAAGAACACACAAAAAAGCACATGAGAACTAAAAGAAAGATGAAAATGCAATTTACGTGTATTCTGAGTTACATACTCCCAAGTCTATGGACAGTCTCACAACAGTACCTGAAACATCCTACAAATGATGGGGGGAAAAAGCTCCCATCTAATGCTTTGTAAAGCATTAAAACCTGTAAGAGTCTGAAAAGTAAACCTGGCCTGGGTTGCCCACAACCTCATGGCACAACTCCAACTTTTACTATTAATGGGGTCTTCAGCCTCCTGATGCCACCACAGCAAGAGACAGAAAAATCAGTTTCAAAAAAACCCCACCCAAAACATACAAAAAAACCAACCAAACAAAAAAAAGTTCTGCTGCTCTGTAAAAGAAAAGGAAACCCATGAAGACAAAAAAGCAAGGGATTTGTATTAATCCTCAGAGGAAAATGGGCTGAATTTTCACTTGTTTGCTGATTGAGAGTGGCAAACATCGCTCAAAATAAGGACTGTATCTTTGAACCTTGCTCTCACACAAGATGCCAGGAGATCTGATTTACATAATGAACTGGGATTACCTTTATGGGCTTAAATATCAAAAGTAATGTTTCTTCCCCATGAGCGATTATTTGCATCTTTTATATCCCTGAGAGTCCAAAAAAGCAGAACATACATTAAACGATTCCCTATGCTACGTTTTTTGTATCAGCAGTTGTCTTGGATAATCTTCCAAAAAATTATTCACTAAAGTGCTTATAAAACATCTTTTTAATTCTGTATTTGACCAACTGTCTTAAAATGAGAGCTAATGTCATTTTCATAAAATGTCTGTTTTAATTAGCTGTCTTAATACATTAAACACGACAAGGTATTTCATGACTTTGGATAAAGTACTTCTGTAATATTTCTTCGTAAGCATTTTTAAAGAAATACAATAGTTCTGTGAGGCATTTTAAATCTTCTGCCACATCTGAAGAAAACAAAACCAACTTATATCTCCAAACAAAAATCCCAGATGTTCTTCCTCAACCTAGATTAAAAAAACCCAAACTTGGAAGCTGAAGATATTTGAGCTTAAGGGCTCACATAGGGCTGAAGAAAAAAACAACTCCTCCAAGTTCCTCCAGCTACAACTCATTCTTTAGCATTAATCTGTGACATGTCTCACTAGAACATAAACTAGTAAGTGAGCATCCATTTATTTTCCCCTCCACTTCCTTCTTATTCCTCAAAAGAAAAAATACTTTAGAAAATTAAATTTCTCTGAATAGCTTATGTTTCTTCCTTTATCTCCCCTTTTAACCAAAATTTCTGTTCAAATATGAAGTATTATGAGTTGCTTTAGCAACCTTTGTGTTAGCATTTAATGCTACTTTAAAAATGAGCTAACAACATTAAAATTTCAATTAAAAACTTGACTCAGACCAAATGTTAAGACCTTTATGAATTCACCTTGTAAAATGAAAAAATACTTCTGATCTTTTTAACTGATCATTTTCACTATGGGTTATAACAACAGGGTGGTTGTAGAGAGTGAGTAAAAATAAGATAACAAAAACCAGCATTTTTCAAACAAGAATATATAAATTCAGTAGAAAGGTAAAAAAGCATACCCTAATCCCTGGTTGCAAAGTAGCATTAGTATAGCATACACACAAGAGTAAATTAAAATCCAAGACCAAAAAAAAGGAAGCAAAACAAAAAATTGAAACTTGGGGAAAGACTCAGAAGAAGCAAAGGCTGCAAACACAAAGAGCAGATGCAAAGGTAGAATAAAATTATGTCAAGGTCTTGCAGAAAGACACAAGCAGCCTGAATTTGAATGTAATTAAAGAAGGGATGACTGAGTGAATTTCAAAAAGGTGTTTGCTACACTCTTATCACATCATCAAAGAAGAATATCCTAGCAACAGCATTTTGGATATGAGGGTAGAGAGACGTTGATTTATATTCATGATTCACTTCCCACCAGCCACCTTCCAGAGTCTGGAAGTCTTTCAGAATCTGAGAAAGCTAAAAACAATTTCCAAGAATCACCTGGATATTTTCTTTCTTTAGTGGCTTTGTCAATGCAAATGAAACAAAGCCTGAGGACAAGTACGCCATGCAGACGATGTAGCTGTGTTGGACACCCTGAGCTAACTGCCCGTTCTCACACACCACTAGAATAACCACAACACGGTGCCTCTCAGCTACTATATCAAGAACAAAAAAAAAACCCAACAACCCAGTGAAGCAAGCAATCTAGCTTAGCCTGATTTAGTAAGGAATTCAGACTTACACAGGAATACTTTACCTATATAGAAAGGAGTTTTATACTTTCAGAGTCCAAACCTGCTGCAGTAGTGGGGCAAGAATGTCAAGGATATCAATTCCCTCCACTAAATTTTCACTAAAATAAGTGAGTGCAAGGATAAAATGGTTTTCAACCCTTCCACCAGAGCAAAATGACATAATGTGAACTCAAAATAAGAAAGATGCACTGTGATTATTTCAATCACAGGTAAAGATTAAATTAGACTTACACTGTATTAGACATGAGCAAGTTAAACCAAGACAAAATGAAAACCTGCTTGCATTGCTATTTAGAGACACTTGTCTATAATAGATGAAGCAAAAAGAGACAAGTAAAAATGAAGAGTAAGCATCCACAGCTGATTTTTCAGACTGCAGAACGGACAATCAGAACATAAAATAAGACTATAAAATGTTACTTCATAGCAAGAAAGAGCCAGATAAAATGGTTTTTACTCTAAAAATGTTTTCTTAAACAATCAAATTGCTTGGTCTCATACAACCAAACTTCTATAAATCACAGCAAGCAAGGCTGACAAAATCTAAAGTAATCACCTAGTCAAATATACCCACTTAACCTTTAACCAAAATAATGTGCAGCACTGCTTGTTAAGGTTTTTATTTTTAAAAAAAATAAACACAGTATCTGTGAACAAGACAAAGAGCAATACCTAAATCCAGACTTCTGTAGCATTTTTCATAACTCAAAGCAACTGCTGGCATAAATGACAATGACACTACATAGTGTGACATGCATAGAAGTCAGTATTGTTACAAGACATTAGAAAATACCTAAAAGAAGGTAACTCCATAGAAATGAACATAAAGAAGAGGATTGTATATGGACATACACACAAATGAACACTGGATAAAAAGCTATCCTTTTCAAAGAGTATGAAAGCAGCAGCAGTAGCACAAAATCACGAATGACAGAAAAAAAGAGAATTAAAGAATGGTAATGAGAAAAAGCCTAACAGTAACACATCAGATGTGAGATCAGCTTTAGAAAAACTTGGATCTTTAACATATTGTAATAATACATAAAAAAGGTATTCACAGGGAAAGCAGAAAAGGGAGAAAAAGATTAAACTAATCCAAATCAAAAGCCAATGATAGACTGCTAAATTAAGGTAACATTTGGAAAACAAAACAAAAAATAGGACTTGGGTCAAATTCGAAGTGCTACAAATTATGCTTAACTGGGTGAATTAAATAAAATAAAATAAATATAATTCCTGTCACAGTACTATGTGATCTTTTAAAATTAAAATATACTGCAAGGGAATGAAAGGATAAATTCTTCTTAGGAAACATCTGCTTGATTCCAACCTTCTTTGCACATCTTGAGGAATCTTTAGGTCTGAAAGCCAGCAAGGAGCAATTCTTGGAGCACACCAGTAAGGGCATGAACCACAGAGCAGTAATATTCTCCTCAGTTCCTTCTCTCTCATGTGCCCTCTTCTATTCTGAAGCTTCTATTTTCTTCCCCCCTTAATTCACCCCAGTTGTGAGGTTAACTGCACTGAGTGTCCACCTAGCTGTGCTGTGCTAGGAGAGACTGGCAAAACAGCAGAACCAACCAAGCCCTGCCAGCTGACACCGCAGAGCAAGGAAGACAATCTAGAGAAGCATCTCTCACAACCAGGGAAGTAATTCAGGAATGATTTGAGCCCTGTCCTGGACTTGAGTAGCATCAGAGAGTAACAGTATTCCCCTCCATTTCTACCGTATAGAATCAAAGAATCTGTAAGGTTTAAAAAGACCTCCAAAAGCATCTAATCCACCACATCCAAAATCCATCAAATCCAGCAGGAGCATAAACACCACCACATCAAGTAAACCAGAGCACTAAGTGCCACATCCAGCCATTTCTTGGACACTTCCAGGGATGGTGACTCTTCCCACTTCCCTGGGCAACCCATTCCAGGGCTTCCCATTCTTTCTGATATCCAACCTGAGGCCATTTTCTCTTGTCCTACCGCTGCTTGCCTGGGAGAAGAGGCTGACTCCCACCGTGCTACACACAGCACCTTACTACATGGCTTTCCATAGTTACCATCACTCAACAATTCTATCTTGAACAGCTGAGCTAAACCCTCCTACCAACTCA